CCCGCCCCCAGTTGCTCAACAGTATGTCTGCGGACTTACAACGCTAGAATCCGGGTTTCGATACCCGTGGTGAGCAGAGCACAAATAGACCATTGTGTATCTTTGTGCTTAATTACAAACAAAAAAACATAATAATGCACCGCCCCCAGTGGCTCAACAGTATGTCTGCGGACTTACAACGCTATAATCTGGGTTTCGATACCCGTGGTGAGCAGAGCACAAATAGACCATTGTGTATCTTTGTGCTTAATTACAAACAAAAAAACATAATAATGCACCGCCCCCCAGTGGCACAGCGGTATGTCTGCGGACTTACAACGCTAGAATCCGGGTTTCGATACCCGTGGTGGGCAGAGCACAGATAGCCCATCGTGTAGCTTTGTGCTTAATTACAAAAAAAACAAAGCTCTGTGACTCTCACACGGAACAGAGATGCTTATGGTTTCTTATGATCCAGTTTTCTGAGTGGTCAGCTACAAAGAGAGAGATAGGGTGTACTGTGAATACAATCGTTTTCAAACAGATTTGTTTCTGCCCTGAAGAAATCGGGACTTGCTTTTTGAGTTTCATTCATGCGTTCTCCTTTTATCTCTTGCTTTTTCTTGTTTTCGTCAACAAAGTTTTTTATTTTGTTTCAACTTCATATCAAATCTCGTCTAGTTTATTGCACAAATAAAATCGCCAGGCATGTGTTTCTGTATACTAGGTTCTCAAATATGTACTTCAGTGGCTTCCAAACTTTTTTCACTGACGACACCCTAACCCACTTACCCTTGATTTACGCGACACCCCTGCTGCTACGTGCAATGATATTTTGTTTATGTTTTTAATTATTCTTCGTCTGATGACACCTTTATCAACTTGCGGCGACACACAGTTTGGAAACCACTGCTACTAATCACAGCGATCAAGTTACTGCTTCCCAGGTTTATCCTTGTATTACCACAAGTATAGAAGCAAATGAAATGACACATTTAGATACATAATTACCTCTTACCCTTGCAACGTCTTCAGAAATATTGACCCTGAATCGTAACCGAATATCGAATATTCAGTAATTTCATGGCTTTTGCTGTAATTTGGTTGTTAACGTTCATTATTTCCAAACAAAACAAATGTTTCTGTGTGTATTGTACATTTTGACAGGCGCTTACACAGCAAGTCCAGGTATCGACGTAGTCAGAAAACAAGTCGCTAAGTACATCGAAAAAAGAGACGCAAAATACTCTGACTATGAGAACGTTTTCCTGTCAAACGGAGCCACTGATGGTGTTAGAGTAAGTTGAGTTTTTTTGTCATTTCTTTTTGTGAACGCTAGATTTGTACAGAGTTAGCAGACCGTAGGGGCTTACCTAATGCAAAGATCAAAGACTGTTCAATAGAGATAACAGTGCAGATGGGAGTTTCAAAAATGGGGTTTCCTATCAAGTCTAACATTGTAAACACCTAATACACAACGAAATGTGAACGAAACCTGCCAATCTTGTAGTTTATATCACAATCTGCTTAGAATGAAGACTTTGAAAACGGTATCGACAAAATTAATAGCGCTTTCACTTGTAGCTTTGTAGCCCTAGGTATCAGACTCTTCGCGAAAAGAATGTTCGTTTTATAACTTCATAATAATCTCCAAAATACGATCTTGACATTGTTTCAACATGTAAACATGTTACAGTTTTAATGTAAGATTTGCATAATCTCTTTTACAAACATGATTCCTCTTATACGGACGACTCGGCATGGCCAGGTAGTTAGGGCTCTCGACTCGTAATCTGCGGGTTCGAATACCCGACCAACCAAACATGCTCGCCCTTTCAGCCGTGGGGGCGTTATAATGTGACGGTCAATCCTACTATTCGCTGGTAAAATAGTAGCCCAAGAGTTGGCGGTGGGTGGTGATGACTAGCTGCCTTCCCTCTAGTCTTACACTGCTAAATTAGGGACGGCTAGTGCAGATAGCTCTCGTGTAGCTTTGTGCGAAATTCATAACAAACAAACTTATACGGACAGAATAATATAGAGATGCTCCCGGTACTTCACCGACAAGTCTGAGAGCTTATATGTATACAAATTGGGTTTCGATATCCAAGATGGACACAGCACACATAACACATTGTGTAGCTTTTTACTTGACAACAAACAAATAATAAAGAGCTTTTTTTTACACAGAAATTCTATTTTCACATGTTAATTTTTGATTTTTCTAAAGTAAAAGAATATTTGACACATACGTCGTAAACCACTTGCTAGATTCAGAATAACAGAACTACTTACACACACTTTGGGCTTGTCAGCCTGGCCAGGTGGTTACGGCGCTCGACTCGCAATCTGAGGGTCGCGAGTTCGAATCCCCGTCACACCAAACATGCTCGCCCTTTCAGCCGTGGTGGCGTTATAATGTGACGGTCAATCCCACTATTCGTTGGTAAAAGAGTAGCCCAAGAGTTGGCGGTGGGTGGTGACGACTAGCTGCCTTCCCTCTAGTCTTACGCTGCTAAATTAGGGACGGCTAGCACAGATAGCCCTCGTGTAGCTTTGCGCGAAATTCAAAACAAACAAACTCCTTTTCTTCGCGAGCATGAATAAAAAGACGACAGAAAGTAAAATATTATACGTAGGTTTCATTGTTTAATTAACTGAAATACACTTTTAGTAGCTCGACTATCCTAAAACATTAGTGCTGATAGCTATAATAATGATTTTCTGTTTTATATATAAACCTGTTTTCTTTTTAAAGTAAAATAAATATCACGTAATACAAAGCAGCAAAAATCTGGTTCAATACCTTACGTACTTCACTTTGAGGAGGATGATATCCATACGTACTTCACTTTGAGGAGGATGATATCCAAACACAAAGATATCACTTTAGTTTTTTGGTTAATATAAGTCTTGCGTATTATCTAATGGGAAGATGGTAAACATTATAGTTTGTATATGTATTTTTCGTGACTGTTCACAGCATTTTTCAGAATCTGCTGACAACATACAGTTAGTATTCCACGTTCACCACACGTTCTGCCCAACAATTTATAAATCAGAATTGTCATAATATGCTAATAAGTATTACTCGCCAAATATTCTTTGGTCTCTTCAAGTAATTAACTAAACAGCTACTCATATGAACTACAATTTAACGACTGACCTAAGACTTATAAACTCCCTTATAAACTACTTGCCCTTAACAATACAGTTAATACAGTTAATTAGTTGACCAAGCTTTGTTGATTTGGAAATTCATAAGTGTTAGGATTCGTTTGAAAATAAAGTTATGCTGCTTGGAAGAAATAAAACAATATGAGATGTTTTTTTACCGTATTATATTTTCCCCAAAGAATTAGCTCCTCACCTTTAATGTAAATATTGAAACACTCCTAATTTGTTAACTGTTTTTTAATTGATATGGCGAGGTTAGACTAAATGTAAAGAAATATTCAGAAGTGCTCTCTATGTGAATTTTAGGTCTTCAAATAAATATTTAAAACAGTACCATGTCTATAAAACAAAATTATTTAGGCAGTTATGACTCTCGTAAACCACTCAACGACTGGTAAACCGCCTGGAGTGATGATCCCTATTCCACAATATCCACTGTTTTCAGCTCTGGTTCAGGAGTACGGCATGTATCAGGTAAGATAATAAGCTTTACTTTGATCAGAAAAATATGATCATTTGTTGTAAATATACAAAAAAAAACATGATTATCCAAAATCCAATCCAAATCATGTTTAAAGTCACATTTTATGTCTCAATTTGGTTTATTACAAATCATAACAGTCTTAGTTGTATGTATCGATAACATCACTAAATAGCTCACAAAAATATACCTTCAACATTCCATTGTCTTTCCAATACAAATGAATTCGGATTTGACTTTTTAAGTCCAAGTCTGTTAAAGTTTTAGATACCACTAGATACGAATCTGAGAATAAAGGACTATTTATGGATCCTATTACGTCCAAGTCTGAGTATAAAGAAATATATTTTAGTTCTACCATGTTTTAGAAAATAAAATCTGAGCTCACCAAGTCCAGAATATCTTCATATAAATTAAGATCTTTTTGTAATGTTACACTCGGACGCGGACCTGTTCGACTCATTTCTAGTGGACTGATTTTAGTTACTTCAAAAATACAAAACAATTGGAGAGGAATATTCTAAAAAACGTTATTACTGCCCAGGGATGTCCGTATTGTGAATCCGATTGTTCATTGTTCGCGTCCTGTTGCTGCAAGAACGCACTTCAATTTTGGGTGCCCAGGGATGTCCGGATTGTGAATCCGAATGTTCAATGTTCGCGTCCTGTTGCTGCAAGAACGCACTTCAACTTTGGGTGCCCAGGGATGTCCGGATTGTGAATCCGAATGTTCAATGTTCGCGTCCTGTTGCTGCAAGAACGCACTTCAACTTTGGGTGCCCAGGGATGTTCGGATTGTGAATCCGAATGTTCATTGTTCGCGTCCTGTTGCTGCAAGAACGCACTTCAACTTTGGGACTATAGTTGCGCTATAACAGTGATGACTAAATCCTACTCTTCGGTCAGATGAATAGAACCCCATGAATTGGCGATAGATTATTTTGACTACCTGGCCAGGTGGTTAGGGCGCTCGACCCGCAATTGCCTATTTCTGTGTTGGCTACGGGAGTGATGATGTGGAGAAATTTGATTCATCTCTTCTGTAGCTGGCCCGGCATGGCCAGGTGGTTAGGGCACTCGACTTTCAATCTGAAGGTTGTGGGTTCGAATCCCCATCCCACCAAACATATTCGCCCTTTCAGCCGTGGGGGCGTTATAATGTGCCGGTCAACCCCACTATTCGTTG